GCTAGAGTTCAACTAGAGTGCCATGGCATCATCATAGCTCACTGCAACCTCAAATTCCTGGACTTAAGCGATCCTCCTGCCTCAGCCTCCCCACTAGCTGGGACTACAGGCACACACCATCACACCGGGCTAATTTTACTATTTTTTTTTTTTTAGTAGCGATGGGGTCTAGTTCTTGCTCAGGCTGGTCTTAAAGTTCTGAGCTCAAGCAATCCTCCTGCCTTGGCCTCCCAGAGTGCTAGGATTACAGGCGAGAGCCATCCAGCCCGGCCCTCCATAGCACTCTTGAACCCTGGGGATGGGGGCGGGGGGGAAGGAAGAAAAAAATAACAATATTACAATGACCTGACCCCGTGCAGTCCTCTTAGGAGCTGGAAAGTGGTGTACTCAACCTTGAAGGGTAAGCACATGCTGACCTGTGCACATAAATAGGCAGGACTGTGGTATAAGGGCACGAAACCACACACCAATGACAGAAGCCAGGATGCAGGATCCAGCCCAGCACAGACCTGGATAGGACTTACCAGGGTTGGCTGCTATCCTGCCTCCAGCCCTCCCTTTCTTGTTTTTCCAGAGCACTTGCACTCAGTTTGCTGGTTATTCCTAGTAGACTGGACCATGTGAAAGCTCCTTAAACTGGAGGAAGAGTGATACTTTTCCCCAATTCCATACATACCCTCTCTGATAAACCTCACCACGGTTCTATGAAGTTGGGGTTATCATGCTCTTTTTGCAAATGAGATTGGGGACTTAATCAAGGTTACATAAGAGCCCGGTGGAAGAAAACTGCTACAGACTCCTCACTTCACTGTAAGAAAGAAAAATCTTCTTTAGCCCACTATCCAATTTTGTTTCATAGTAAAACTGAGTTCCATAGAACTCATGATAACAGAATTCCAGAGATTAGCTTTAAAAATGCCAATCTTTGTAATTAACAGTGTTAGAAAGATAGGGCAACATTCCCTTTCCTCTATACATGTGGAGGGATAGACAGTTATTCTGCATTATAAAACTGGGCCAAATAATCTAGTCGGGCAGGTATTAAGATCTTTCTCAAGAGTATCAATTTGCTTCTCTTGTGCGAAATAAAGAATTGTATGAACGTTTGTTTGTAGCTGGTACCAATTCATTTTGCTTTCTGTTTAAAAAATTTTGCCCTTGCAGGTGTTATTTGTCGCCATGCCTTGTAAAAATTACCTTAAAAAAAAACTGTCATTCTGTTTGGCTGCTGCTATGGATTCAATTGTATTCCTCCAAAAAATGTTGAAGTCCTAATCCCCCACTATCTGTGAATGTGACCTTATTTGGAAACAGGGTCTTTGCAGATGATCAAGTTAAGATTAGGCCATTAGGGTGGGCCCTAATCCAACTGATGTCCTTGTAAGAAAGAAGGTGATATTTGCACACAAAGACAGACATACTCCAAGGGAAGATGATGTGAAGATATAGGGAAAATGTCATTTATGAGCCACGGAACATCCGATACTATCAGAAGCTAGGTGAGAGGCAGGGAACAGACTCCCCCTCAGGGCTCTCAGAAGGAAAACCTGCTTATATATTGATCTCAGACTTTAGCCTCTAGAGCAGTGAGGTAACAAATTTTTGTTGTTTAAGCCCCTCAGTTTGTGGTACTTTGTTTTGGCAGCACAGGAAACTAATAAAGCTGCTGTAAAAATAATGTAGTGATTACTGTATCTCCTTATCAGTAAGATTTCTGTTGAATCAAGACAAGATTATTGGCACTTGCCTCTTCTACACGCATGACGGAAAAAACAAAACAACTCTCAAATAACTTTAGTTTGTTTCATTAAACTGACAGCTACAATCTGATGACAAGTTCAGTGCTCTTCCATTACGTCATAGCTACAAAAGGGCACATTAACCATTAGCAGCCATTTATTTTTCTTTTGCGGTTATCTTTTGCCCATTTCCTATTGGTTGCTTTTTCCATTATTAATTTGTAGGTGCTATTTCTAAAATTAGCTACATTATGTGTTTTAGATATTGTAAATATTTCCTCCCAATCTGTCATTTATCTTTTTTAACTTTTTCTTTTTTTTACAGAGATGGGGTCTCACTATATTGCCCAGGCTAGTCTCCCGGCCTCAAGTGATCCTCCCGCCTCAGCCTCCCAGGGTGTTAGGATTACAGGCGTGAGCCACCATGACTAGCTTTTTATTTTTTAAATGGCATTGCCATACAGATATTTATTTTTATGTAGCCAAATATATCAGTCTTTTTTTTTTATGGCTTCTAAATTTCATATATTGCTTAGGAAGGCTTTCTCCATTTCAAGATCACAATAATTCCCTATTTTTCTCCCAATATTTTTATAGTTTTTTAGAGATGGGGTCTCACTCTGTCACCCAGGCTAGAGTGCAATAGCACAATCACAGCTCACTGTAGCCTTGAACTCCTGGGCTCAAGCAATCCTCTTGCCTCAGCCTCCTGAGTAGCTGGGACTATAGGGTGTGCACCACCATGCCCAACTATAATAATTAAAATTTTTTTTTTTTTAGAAATGGGGTCTTGCTGTGTTGCCCAGGTGGGTCTCAAACTCTTGGCCTCAAGCAATCTTCCTGCCATGGCCTCCCAGAGTGTTGAGATTACAGGTGTAAACCACCACACTCAGCTTATAGTTTTAATGTTTAGGGATCAGACTTCATTTTTTTCCAGATGGATGGACAACTGACCCAGCGTCCTTAATTGAATACATCCCTTCTAACTGACGTGAAATGTCACTTTTAATGTAAGTTCTTAGAGATACATGGGTCTATTTCTGGCTTTTTTCACATTCTGACTTCACTTGCCTTTCTTCAGCAGCCGGCCACAGAAATGCACATGCATATGAATGGGGCGGATGGTGCCCACCTGGAGAATGCATGCCTTTCCTCCCCTCATTTGCTGTCATGCAGAAATGTGGGCCCCTTGTGGCCATATCTTCTAAGTTTTCAAGAGGTTCTAGACATCTAGATTTTTATATGATATCTCCAGTTTTTAAAGTGCTGCCAATTAATTTTTTTTTAATTTAAAAAACATTATGTGGACAAAATGTATTTGCGAGCTGAGACCAGCCTGTGGCACACCAGTTGGTGACCCTATTCCAGATGGTGAAATATGATAATGCGGAGTAAGGCCAGACTGGGTCCAGGAATCCACCTCCAACTCTTTCCCACTGCCAACATTAAGAAGCAAAAGAGGAAGAGTGATGCGGCAGCTCCTGGAGACCTAAGTTATTTGCAACCACCCTCTGGGAAAGAAAGCAGTGTTGTGATTTGTCTCAACTCTCACCCACATGAGTTGATGATGTGGTTCCCGGTTTGCAAGCAACCAGCAGGTAGAAGGTCAGCATGGGGGACAGGACGGTAACATCCTTAGTTAAGTTGGGCCTCCCAGAACCTGCTAGGCTGAGTTACAAAAGACAACGGGTTGGAAGGAGAACGGAAAGTGAGGTGCTGGCCAAGGATAAAGATTATGGTCTTCAAAATAAGCTGGAAAGTGACGTAACCTATCTAATAATAATGCAGCTTCCCTGCCTACCTTTCAACTTAACACTAAAGAAATGGCAATGAAAAGACGCCTCCAACTCTCACATGGAGGACAGATCTGCTAGAAGCAAAAGAGTCACATTGTGGAACACCACTGTTTATGGAGAAAGCCCCTTCACATGCATTATCTTTCTTGTCTCTCATGACAATCCTGTGAGGGAGGCAGAATCAGGCTGTTAGTGTCCCTTACAGAAGAGGAAACTGGCATTAGGGGGCAATCAGAATGGTTTTTAGATGGCTCTGGGATATGCAGGAATGACGCTGTATGGAGAATAAAGGACTGCAGGCCCGTTCTCCTTCCTGGTGCCATTTCTGCAGATCATTTATTCATTGAACGTTTCTGAACACCTCTGATGGGCTAAGCACTCTCTCCTAGGCACTGGAAACATAGCGGTACACAGATCCTTCCCTTTAGCTGAATCAGTCATCCCTACTCTGAACGATGACCCAGAATGGACTTGCCCTATTCCTCTCTAGTTGGAGCAATGACCTCAGGCCAACTCTTGCATTTTGTTCTAGAGACCTTGGTTGCTTCTCTGTCGGTTACTTCCTGAAAAGCACTGACCTGTGCCAGGAATACAATATGCTTTTACATGTTTAAGGCATAGAAAAGTGGCAGACTCACCCCCAAACTTTGGCCATGCCTTAATTCTGACCTAATTTTAAAATATGTTTAATGCAGGTCACATAATTCCCTGCACATGCCACTCTGAGAGCAGGGATGGCACATACGGTTTCTCCTGAAGCAGAAAACAGAGCCCAGCTAGTGAGGTGGCCAGTTTCTAGGGTATTTTGAATTAACCTCTTTTTTTTGCATTACTTTCCCTTCACCTACATCTTTTCCTCTGATGCCTCCATCCTTTGGGGTATGTGAGGGGCAGGAATATGTACTAGGTACATGTAGAACAGTCCCACCAGTTCTACACTCTCGACACCCCATCGGTTCTTGTTCTGCAAACATATTCTTCCGTTGACTGTGGTGACTACTTTGTCTTCTAAAAAGATATGTCCAAACTCAAACCATCGGTACCTGTGACCTTACTTGGAAAAAGGTCTTTGCAGATATAATTAAGGTAAGGATCTTGAGATGAGATCATCTTTGATTAGGGTCAGCCTAAATCCAATGACATGAATTTGGTGTCCAACAGTATCCTTATAAGATATAGAAAAGAGACACAGGGGAAAAGGTCATGTGAAGGCAGAGGCAGAGACAGGGTTTATACTGCTACAAGCCAAGGAACACCAGGGATGCTGGTCACCACTGGAGAAAGGCACGGAATGGATTCTGTCAGAACCCCCAGAAGGAACCAGCTGTACCAACACTTTGATTTCAGACTTCTGGCCTCCAGAACTGTGAGAGAATAAATTTCTGTTGTTTTTAGCCACCAAGTTTGTGGTAATTTATTATGGCAGCCCCAAGAACAAATACACAGACCCAACCCATTCTTCCCCTTTGAGCAAGGACTACTATGTACAACTCAACCTGAGAGTGAGGCCTTCATTCCTTTCCCTTAGGGCTTCTGGAAACAGTTTTCAGATGACTGTTCAATGCTCAGAGAGTTGTAAGTATCCACCCAGCAGGCATCTGTTCACCAGCAGAGGACACCTTCGGAGGTGCTGGGCTCTCTGGCTTCAGGAGTGGGATCCATGTCCTCATCCATATCAGATCTGTCTGCTCCGATCTCGGCCCTTTCTTCCTGCCTAATCCAAAGGCTGTTTTCTAGCTGTTCTTCAGCAACTTCTAGCTCTTCCTCTGTTTGTAAACCAGCCACAGTTTCCCGGGGCAAGTTTGAGGAATATAGCCCAAGTTTGGCTTTACAACCAAACATTGCCTCATACGGACTCTGTTGCAAAGAAACGTCGAAAGCCTGATTCCTCACCATCTGCATGAATCGTAGGCCTTCAGCCCAGTTCCGTGAGTAGTTACTATGCATCCAGGCACTTACCATGTTCTTTACATCATGGCTTGCTCGTTCCAGGGAGCCCTGGCCTTGACCAGGGTGGTATTTACCAGAGACAATTTTTAGGTCTGGCCATACCTCATTGAGCTCATTAACAACCTGGTTTGTGAACTCTATGCCACAGTCAGATTCTAATACACTGGGTGTACCAAGAATTGTGAAAATATCCAACAAGACACTGACCACCTCATGGATCTGTTTGGTTTTTAATGGCCGTAAGATAATAAACTTGGTCAAGTGGTCCTGGTAATAGAAAATAAACTTGAACTCGCCATCAGCATTTGACTGCATGTCAAGTATTTCAATTTGGCATCTGGAGTCCATGTCCTTAAAAGTCACGGGCTTTGGTGCAAGGGTTCTCTTGGGTAGTGGATTCCTCTGGTGGCACTGTTTACAAAGAGTCAGATACAAGACAATGACTTCTTTGGTGACGTTCCCATATTTTCCTTGCAGCTCCTTGAGCATGCGTGTCCGCCCACCATGCCCAATACTGAGATGTGTATCATGAAGAATATCAAACAACTCTTCTTTATGCACATAATACCGTATTCGATCTCGTTCTCTGTGAGTAGCCTCGATCAGTTTCTCTGTGCCTTGTACAGAGATCACATCGTATTTTGCGGCACGGCGATAATCACGTGATGACTTCTTCCCCTTTTCTTTAGCTTGTTTGACTTCCTTTATTGTTTGAAAGTACTTTTCTTTGGAAAACACCTTGCTGTTGTAACTCTTGCTTTCTACCAGTTTTGTTACGCTTATAAGAAACTTTTCTCTCATGTTACTTATCTCCATTTCCATTTCACCTGCATTTGAAATACTGGGTGGATCATTTCCAGCTGTCTGTGGCATCATGGAGAACTGCAAGAAGGATGCTAAGACAGGGAGAAAGAGAAGAGAATAAAGTTAAATTTGCTGAAACTCCATCTGGAAGACTTGCCCTCCAAAGTTTCTCATCAATTCTTTCATCTGATTTTTGAAGACTATTATACGGAAGAAAGATAACAGAGTAATAGTATAAAGCAACTAGAAAGCCATTCAAAATGAGAGCATGTCAAAAAAATTTGAAATCAGTAAGATTACAAATATATAGTAATTTTAGACTTTAAGCAAACAGAATAATAATACCATTAGCTTATATCATGAAACCTAACTAACTAGTCTTTGTTATTAATAATTGAATAGGAGAGAGGATAAATGTAAATCCCTAAGGCAGGAGGCTAAAATCCTACCCTCAGTAGCTTTTAAAATAATATAAATGGGAGAATGTTGCTGGAAGGTACACACAATAACAGCAAACTCTTAAACTTAAGTTAGCACCAGGAAGTGCTAACTTCAACATACACAAACGTCTTTCTATGGCTAAAGAGTCTGTCCTCACTTTAGAAGAATCAAAAAGAAAGTGGTGGAGATATTTTTAAATTATGGTTTTCCCTGACAATTGTACACAGGATTAATAAATGAAGATTCTGAGTCCTTACCCTGTGGGACCATGTTTTCATAACTGTCCAGCATTGTGTCCCTGCAGCAGTCCTTTTGAGAGGCTTCCAAATACTTCCAATCTTTGGTCATATCTTCAAATGTTTTGCTGCCTCCTGAAACGGCACTGGCTGCTGTCACAGGGACCATTCAGCCTTGGGGCCTGGGCTAAGGAACAGCTTTAGCAGGATGGGGGAAGAGACAGTAGAGGGCACCAAGAATGAAGGCAAGCTGGCACCAGCAACTCTAAACACAAGTCAGGTGAATATCATATGGAAGAAATAAGGAAAAAGTCTCATATCCAACAAGATGATCTGAGCTTCATGTGTGAAGGAAAGGAGTTTTGCTCTCCTGGGAGGTCTATAGGTCTGGCTTACTTTTGACACTGCCAGAGCTGGAGCCCATGTATTTCCGGAACAAAGCAGAGAGTCCAAGTGAACTTGGGTACTCCTAGGCCGGGAGACACTTTCAAGTATGGCATTGATGGCTCCAGATAGAGTTGGCAGGGTCTGTTCCCAGAAATGGAAGTATCATGTCTATGTGTACAGAGATATGTCAGGAGATTATTGTGCTGAAAAGAGATACACCAAATGGAGTCCACATGCCACCAAGATTGGAGAATTCCTTAGGGAGAGAACTTGATACTCGGGTGTCTACACCAGGATTCCTTAGTTAGAATAACCCCAAGATACAGGATGGTGAGAGGCCAGGGAAGGAGTCCATGATGACTGCAGGAATTCCAACAAGCTTAGGAAAACAAGATCCCCAAGATCCCAGACATCAGATCCAGAGCTGAGGGGCAGGGCAGAATCCTGAGAAGCAGGGAAAGACGGAAACCTTTAAAAGCTCTGAGCAAGAGTCTCAGTTAAGCCAGGCCTGCTTCCAGGTCCCGAAAGTCCTCCACTAAGAAGGCTTCAAATTCCCTTCCTCAGAACCACTGGCTAATCATGGAATATTCCTTATTATAAGACACCACGACTGTAAAACCAATAACTTAATGACAACTTTGAGAGGAAAAACAGAGAACTTACATTAAATGAATGTACCGACAAGACACATCCTAATTCAAAAACATGAAAAAATATGCATTTTAGAATTAAAGAAATTATATGTTTGCAAAATGCTCTTTAAGTTTGGGTTCAAGATCCTTAAAGGCTCTGACAAGTCTTGTAGTAAAAGAAACCAGTTTACATTTATTTCATCCATTACTATTCAATCATGGACATGGGACTTTGTTTCCCAAGGAGTATCTATTACCAACCCATAGTCCTAGTGATCCTCAGAAGAGACTTGAAATCATAAGGTATTCAATGGGATCTAGGATGAGGATCTTCCAAATTCCTTACTGAAACCAGCATCTCTCAGAAATTGGGTGGCTGTACTGCTGCTATTTTAAGGCCCTTCAGGGGACTGCACAGGAAGAAAAAGCCTCACCTTCATGACCTCCATACTATAAAATAACCGAGAAGACAGGCTGGAAATAATTTAGAACCAAAAGATGTAAAATCTCAGTTTTTAGTACGAAATGTTGAACTTACTACCCCATGAAATTCTAAAGCACAGCTCAATGGCCACAGCTGGCTACTAGACCTATTTTTGTCCATCCAGTGATTTTTTGAAAACAATTTGAGTGATTTACCTATACTTACACATTGGGAGATTTCACACAAAAAAACTAGGTTTCTGGCTTTCTTGAAAATGGGAAGATTTGGCCATATTGGGTATTGCTGCCTGGCAGCAACTTGCTGTAGTGGAGACGGCAGCATTTTTCTTTCCTTTTTTTTTTTTTTTTGAGACAAGGTCAAGTTCTGTATAGCCCAGGTTGGAGTGCAGTAGAACAATCACAGCTCATTGCAGCCTCAAACTCCTGGGCTCAAGCAATCCTCCTGACTCAGCCTCCTGAGTGGCTGGGACTACAGGTGCCTGCCACTGCCACTGGCTTTTTATTTTTTAGAGATGGGCATCTCCTTATGTTGCCCAGGCTGCTCTCACACTCAAGCAGTCACTTGGGATTACAGGCCTGAGCCACTGCACCCAGTGGCATTTTTCTTTAGATGGAGCCTGCACTCTCTTATTTCCCATACTCCTTAAGTGACCTACTAACCTACTCATCTTACCTGCTCATCCCTGTAAATTTCTGAGTTTTCAGTATCTGTTCTAAAGCAACATGAAAGAAATGTGGCCCTTAACCAACCAGCTTCCTGGTGTGATCTGTGCTGATGGGGTAACTGATAAACGAGCTTGGTTAGAGAAAATTGGAAGCATCTCTCAAGTCATGTGTACTCCCTTCCTCACCCACCTGAGTCTTTCTGTTGCCGACCTGGAACGTCTTCCCGCTGATCTTCCAAATCACAGTCAGCTCACATCAGCCTCCTTCCAGATGTATTCAGCAACTCCAGCTGATTGCCATCTCTCCCTCCTCTGAATAGCCTGTACCACTCACTGGTGCACTTTGCTTTGCATTTTTAGTTGACTGGTTCAGGTGAATACAAACTAGAAGGTAAGGATTGGGGCTTCTACCTGCCTGTGTCCCTTCGGAGGGCAAATGAATACAGAGCTGAGCACAAAAGATGTTAAAAGGACATTTGTCAAATACGTTGCTTAGAGCTATATCATTATTAGCGAGGCAGTGCAGCGGTATGGTTGAGCCGAGTCTTGGGAATTCAATTTCTGACCGTACCATTTACTGTGTGACTAGGGCAAAGTCTCTGGGGCTTCAATTTCCTGATCTATAAAATCGGGAGAACACCGGTATCCATCACAATAGACTGCTATGAAGATCCAATGATAATGCAGATAAAGCTCTTAGTACAGTGTCCCCGCACCTTCGACACAACACAGGAACTTCCGCTGATTCCTGAAGACGGGTTCCGGCATCACTTCCTTTGTGCAGTCGTCCTCCCCCGACTTCCGCAGACTCGGCTCCCATTCCCTGGTTCCACACTTGTCCGCCCTACCCACCTGGCCGAGGGCGGTCAGCTCCGGGCTGAATGAATGAAGTGGGTCAGGAGTGGAGGGGCGGGCCGGAGGCCGGGAAGGCGACAGGAATGCGCCAGGGACCCGCAGCGTCCGGGAACTCACTCCGCCCCCAGCCCAGCACGCAGCTGTGCCGCCGCCTCACTTCCCGCCCCTGCTAACCCCGCGGCTCCCCAGCGCCTTCGCCTCCGGAAGTCGGTCCGCGCCGGCCGGAAGCCCCGCCCCTCCCGACTGGCCGCCGCAGTCTCAAAGGAACCCTCAGTGCTCCTCCCAACTGGGTCTCGTGAGGGTCGTGCCCAGCCAGGACAAGACATATTTAGGGCTGTCCCGGAGGTGATAGCTAGGGCCGGCATAGGTGTGACCTTGGCTAAGCAGTCGCTTAACTCGGGCTCCTTACCCATTCCCACAGTTACGAAGCCTCCCTAATAAGTAAACTGCCTTCGCCTTCAGGCATCTGCCTGCTTAGGTAACGTGAGGAATGGCGGAGCGCACAGTTGACCGCTGGACACTTCACATCCTTTCTGAATCCTCCGAGGAACCTGCGTTTTAGATGAACCTTTTTTATTTCATACTGCAACCCAAAGATCTGTTAGGTTTTGGTCGATGGCACTCACCCAGCCACCTATGCAGAAAACAAGCCTGTAAACGGGGACCGTGAGTAGCTCAGAAAACCTGAGACTTCTCGCAGAAAACCTGAGACTTCTCGCTCTAGGACAGCTTGAAGCAATGTTCTACATTCCACTGGGAAGTCAAAGCAGCATATTTTATTCTAAGCAAATCTATCCAATGGCAATGCAAACTTTTATTCGATAAAAAAAATAGCCTGTATGTCCGCACAGTAGCACATTAGTAGGAAGATAGGAAAAGACAGGTTCAAGAGTGTTTCCAATTAGCTTTTCTTATTGGGTCATCTTCTCAGTGAGCCCCCTTCAGCTATAATGTACCCCCAAATGGTGCTGCCTGCTATGAAAAATAATCACTATCTCATTAGTCCTGATTTTGGAAAACAGCATCTCTCAATAATTAAAGAACTGATGTTCAAATGTAAAAGACCAACTCTATTTAAACAGTATTTTTCATTACAAGTGGCCTGCCTCTAAACAGCAAATGTCACCTGAACTTCCCTTTCCAGATCCAAAGATCGACAAATCAAAAAGGTAAGAGACTGATCCACTGAAAACTAGGTAGTATCCCAAATAACCACACACAAAACAAAGGCTCTTCCTTTTAGCAGTTTTTAATGAAAGTTGTACATAAGATTATGTTATTCCTGCATCTTCTCAATTGTTTCTTCCTTGTACTTGCCCTTTTCCTTTCCTACTTGGCGAGATTTCGCTTTCCGTTCAAGGATCTTTTTGCGGTCTTTGTCCAGTTTAAGCCTAGTAATAACCACCTGCAGAAAAGAGAACACACTCTCAAGCTTTAGATAATTACTAAAACAACCCATGCGAAGACACAACGTTCAATTCTATTTTCTAAACCTTGGGTAGTGGATGCCTAAACAGAAAATAATGTATTTATTTAATTTATATTTGCTAATGTTCTACCAACAAAGAAGAAAAAGCAAGGTGGCATCAGTAATTCTTCTCATAGCCTCTTCTGTGCTTTACTATGAAATCTCTCACCTGGGCTAGAGTGCTGGTGTCAGCCTAGCTCAACGGCAACCTCCTGGGCTCAAGCAATCCTCCTGAGTAGCTGGGATTACAGGCATATGCCACCACGCCCAGTTAATTTTTCTATTGCTATTTTTAGTAGAGACAGGGTCTCTCTCCTGCTCAGGCTGGCCCCAACTCCTGACCTCAAGCGATCCTCCTGCCTCGGTCTCCAGAGTGCTGGGATTACAGGTGTGAGCCACTGTGCCTGGCCAAAATCTGTTTCTTTTTATTGTGAAATGTATCAACTATTCTACTCCTTCCACTCCAGTTTTACAAGCTAACCAAGTCATATACAAATACATTTTTGTTTCTAAAGTAACTTTAGAATTGTAAGGTTAGAAATTTAATTTGACCTTCACACATGCTTTCAACTTGGTGAGGTCACAGTACAGATCTTATTTCAACAGTGTGAATCCTAAAGACATCCATATTATGATAAATTTTAGTCTTAGGAAGGAAGGTGAGGGAAGTGGAAAGACACTAAACTAGGTCCTAGAAATACAGCATGGTGAGCAAAACAAAATCTCTGCTGTTATGGAGCTTATTCTCTAAATATTTATGTATGTCACTTTGATATAGAGAAAAATAGGGCAAATGTGGGGAGGCTGAGGAACAGGGGCTAGAGTGATCAGGGAAAGTCCTACTGATAAAGCTACATTTGAACAGAGGCCTAAAGGGGTGAGCCATCTAGGCACAACTGACCCAAAGAGAATAGCAAGCCAAAGGTCCAAAGGCAGGAGACTAAAGTTTTATAGGTATGTTTCTCAAACTTGAGTGTGTCTAAGAATCAACTAGAGGGCTTATTAAAACAGATCCCTGGGTCATAACCCTCAATTCTGCTTCAGTAGGTCTAGGAACCTAGAATTTGCAATTCTACCAAGTTGTTAGGTGATG